GATGCACAACCAACCGAGAGAACCGCAGCCTTATGAGGATTGTCAAGCAAAATCGATTCCTAGAGCATTTTGTCACATTTAACATTTCTGTCACATACTTGAGGTATTCGGCCGATCATAACGCACTGGATAGTTGGCCAATCAGAGCACACCTCGCTTTTTCAGACCGATGAGCTTTGTAAAAATCAACGCGTTTCAGAAAGGTGGGGCATAGAGGAGAAACAATAATGCACAGTATTTGGAAAATAATGTGTTTTTTTAACCTTAAACCGCATTAACACATTTCATTACACCAAATACACCAAATAATGTTCTTTTTAGCAACATCATATGACCCCTTTAACACCGACTGGGTCTATGTACAAGAACATGCTGCTGTACTAGTGACTGTTGATATACAATATCTAACTAACTGAATGTGGCTTTATACTTTTTCCCTATTACAGAACAAGCTGAAATCCTCTCAGAAGGATAAAGTTCGCCAGTTCATGATCTTTACCCAGTCAAACGAGAAAACAGCATTGAATTGTTTGTCTCAGAATGATTGGAAACTAGATGTTGCTACAGACAACTTTTTCCAAAATCCCGACCTCTACATACAGAATCTAAAGGGAACACTAGACCGGAAAAAGTTAGAACAGCTTTACAATCGATACAGAGGTAAGGATTGAGCAGCATTTCATTACTTTTAAATAGTGTTTTGTGTGTTGAAATATAGAGAATTATTACAAACACAGTAAACCATGCTTTGTGTACATTTTCTGTAAGAAATGAGAAAATGTCTTGCATTGTATTCAATTTTGCAGACCCTCAAGATGATAACAAGATTGGTATAGATGGAATCCAACAGTTCTGCGATGATTTGGGACTTGATCCAGCCAGTGTAAGTGTTCTGCTAATTGCTTGGAAGTTTCGGGCAGCAACACAATGTGAGTTCTCCAAACAAGAGTTCATGGAGGGAATGGCTGAGCAAGGGTAATTTTTTTAAATCACGTCTGAGCTCTCTGAATAATCTTTGCCCCTCATCCAGTGACTTACACACTGAAATGCTGATCTTTGCGTTTGTTTTGTCAAGATGTGACAATATAGAGAAACTCAAAGCACAGCTACCCAGGATGGAGCAAGAGTTGAAGGACCAAGGGAAATTTAAAGACTTCTATCAGTTCACATTCAACTTTGCTAAGAATCCAGGACAAAAGGGCTTAGGCATGTGTTGGGTTCATTCACGTTTGTTACTTTTCATTTTTGTATAGTTAACTAGTGTTTTTTCAGTTTTTTTGTTTTGTTTTTCTCTAGACCTAGAAATGGCAATTGCATACTGGAATTTAATATTGGCTGGGCGTTTTAAATTTCTAGATCTATGGAACAAATTTTTATTGGTGAGTATTGATCTGTACATGGCTGTAAGTTATAAATAGATTTAACTTAAACCTGAATGTGTTTTTTAATGTATGCCCCCCTAGCATCACCAAACTGTAAAACAAACTATAAAATAGTTTTATTTTGACACTTGCAGACTTTAAAAATGGTTACGGAGAACACTGTGCATCATACACTACACAGCTGAGGATCACACACTAATAAACTTTCAAGTTGTTCTGAACACAACAGACTCGGGCAGAAACATGCACTTTGTAGCTAGAAGATGCATGACATTTTAAAACAATATGTATTCCAAAATCGGCTCAAAATACCAAACATGTCTGATATTCTCAGGCTGGACAGATTCAAAGTCTGATGCTAAAAAAATCAGAGTCTGTGCCCATGATACACTGTGTGATTTCCTGCGAAATCTGTCGACTCTGGTTGCCCAAAATCTACAGGCTGACTCTGATTTTTGGCAGCAATCATTGATGTGTCCAGACTGAACTGCGGCAAAAATCTGGGCAAAAGTAGTGTAGAGTGTTCCAGGCTAAACTGGCATAAATAGTGTTTAACACTGTAAACCTGGATGAATGTTTTGTTTGCTTTTGCATTGCAGGAGCATCATAAGCGATCCATTCCCAAAGACACATGGAACCTTTTGTTAGATTTCAGTACGATGATCACAGACGATATGTCAAACTACGATGAGGAAGGTTAGTTTGAACTTCTTTGACTTAATTCATCTTTTACATGTTTATATATTAGGGCTGGGTTTTGACACAAATTTCATGATTCGATTCGATTCTCATTCAC